TATGCATTTCCATGCAGCCAATTCAATTTATCGATTCTTTTACCTGGCAGTCCCATGAGATTGCATTGTATTTATATATGTATTTGTATTTGTATTTGTTTTTCGTGCTTAGTGTTGTTGTTGTTTCCCGTTGTTTAATTTTGTTTGCTTTTGTTAAACGTTGCTGCGTGCAAACACAAGTACATATATAAAGATTACTTACACTTTTTTGCTTTAAACCACTCATTAATAACAGATTTTTTCTATATTTTTTGTTTAATTGTTTATTTGCAGATTGAAACCTCAGCAAGCTAAATGAGGAGCGCCTCTGTTAGGCTGGGATGTGCATTTGAGTGTAGTTGAAATTAAATTAAAAAAAAATTTGGATGCAAATCAAAAATAAACAAAACTAAAAAAAGTGGACTTGAAAAGACGGCGTGACCGTAATCAAATGAATCAGTTATCTTGTGAAGCCATAATGCAAAAGTGAGCGTGGCAAAATTTGAGATTTATTAAATTTGTTCGCTGTTGTTGCGCCGCATTCAACATTGCAGCCAGCAATTGCTGTGCGATCGTCGTGGCCGACAACTTTTTGGCGCACAAGCAGCAAAAATACAAAAAAAAAAAAAATAATCATAAAACAAAGGGGACATACTACATACACATGTAAATACCCCCGAAAGTGAGTAAATAACAAAAGAAATATTGCTTCTCAAAACTAAATAAATAAATAAATAAATACTGAATTTTCAACCATTAATAAATATAAACAGCGTTTGCGTGTGTGTACAACAACCCAACCATTCAAGTACGTGGTACATACCGCAAAAATTACAATAAAGTGAATAACTAAGTGCAGCAGACGATCAGATCGGCTGAATCAGAAATGAACAGCGTTGACGGCGCACCCAATGCCACGATTTTAGCTGAGGGAGCCCCAACACGCGCGACAGTAACGACCGGCGAAACCATAAATAGTACTACTACAACTACTACTACTAATGTCGCTGCTGTTGTGAGTGCGAAAACAACAGAGCCTACAACAATAATAGCGACAGCAACAACCATAACGTCAAACGCAATAAAAACAACAGCAGCATTTGCTGATGCAACCGACGACGACCGATTCCACGAAATCGAACCGAAAAATGTATCAGTTTGCGCCGTTGAAGAGCAGCCATGGCAACGGCCTAATGAATCGCCAATAATGCCAATAAATGAAAAAACAAATCCCAAAACAGTAGCAACACCAATCGAATCAGCAGCACCAGCACCAGCAACAAAACCAATAAACACAATGGGTAACACTAAAACAACAAATAATGAAACATCAGACAACACATCAGCAACAACACCAGTTATGCAAGCAACACCAGTAACGACGGCCCCAGCACCAGAAACCGCACCGCCGACGACGGCAACCGATACAACAATAAAAATTAAAAATACAGATGCCAATGATGTTGAAATGACAGATATGGCAACCCCAGAGGGCAACAATGGCGACAATGCAAGCGAGTGCACAGCCTGCGATATCACCACCGCCGGCACTGCCGTCATTGATAACAAAGCCGACGACGATGTTAAGCCACAACCACCATTATTGACAACAGCGGAAGGCGATAATTGGAAACTCAATGAGATGGAATTGTGTCGCTGTTGTGGCAAGCCCAATGTCACGCTCTATGATCTCTTTCCCAACGGCAATGCAGACGTTAGCAGCAGCAGCGTTGATGATGAAGGGGAGAAGAATGAGGGAAAGGCGGCGCAAGTTGGGGAAAAAGAGCAGAGCAATGAAATTCTAAACGCGGATGCAGCAGCAGATACTGAAATACAAGTATTGGAAAAAGAATCAAACGATGTTGTTGTGTATGATGTAGAGGACGCGCTGCAGGCGAGTGTAGTTGACACGAAGGCGAAAAATGGAGCAGAAATAAAGCAGAAAGCAACCACTGACGCGACCGGCTCATCCGTCAAAGATGCAACAAAAGCAACAACTAATGACAAGTCGAAGATCGATTGCGAGACGGCGAACACACCAAAACTTTGTTATCGTACAATTGCTGCTTCTATCGCTGCGGCGGCTGCAGCAGCCACAGCTACAACGTCCACAGATACAGCTACAGCCAATACCACGACCACTAGCGCCAGCGCCAGCGCGATCATACGTCAAAGCGACGATCCCACCTGCCAAACAACCAATGACCCAATTATTGATGCTGCCACCAGCAATGATGTTGGTGAGTGTGGTCGTCGTCGTGGTGACGACGGTGATGCTGTTGCTGATCCTAATGCCGCTCAAGCTGGTGCCGGTGCTACGCGTGTGAAAAAATCTGCAACAGCAGACATGGTTAATGCTACTACGTCGATGACGACGACTACCACGACGACGACGACAACGACAAAGAAACATGCCGTTGATGCTGCCAACAACAATAGCAACGTCAAAGAGTCAAATAACGCCAATGGCCAGGGACAAAATAGCGACGACATGGAGAATATATTGCAAGAGATGCAAATTTGGCAACTATGGGTGAGTCTTATTGCAGTTTACCGTATGATAAATTACATACTCGTATATGCCTTTCCCAAAACGACTATTATTTACCGCTTTTTTTTGTGGCGTTACTTTAGTTGATGAAAAAATAGAAATCGCAATCGTGTTTGCGAATGTTGTTTGCACAAACGTGTATATCTGGTTACAATGAACCTTCGACGAAAATTGTTATGTAATTTTGTGCTTTGTTTTCTCTTCTCCAAATTTGTTTACATTGACGTTGTTTATGGATTTGGATTGCATCTTTTTTATTTATTTGTTCAACGCTTGGCGAGTTTGTGACGTAATTCGTGGAATCGCATCGGTTTTTCGCTGACTACGCTCCTTAGGATGGTGAGCAGTTGTTGTTAGTGAGTTAATATGGGCGGTAGCGCCTGGCGATATATATATATATATATACATATGTACGGTGTTTGAGGCGCTTTAAACTGAAAAACTGGCCCTTAGTGTCGCCTAAAGTGTAGTATCTTGTATCGGTTTAACAGCGGTGGGAGTTGCGCACATGGGAATTCATGGAAGGAAATAGCCACTAAGCCAACTGCCGCATTCCAATCTATAGATGTCGTTTTCTGACCTAGGGAATCATTTGAATTATCTGTCACGAAAATAATATTAGAATCGCCCAGAGAGTGTCAGATGTCAAGATTCCGAGGCTAGAAACGCAAGTTACAACCAAAACTGCAACCTTCCCATTTGAGATTACCTCGTAGGCAAGTGAATTCAGCTATCACGATCTTCATCTACTGACACGAACACGTAGATCCATGTAAAGTCCATCAAAATTGTTCGTAGAGGATCCGGAGAATATATTTGTCGTTGTGCAGAATTTTAGTGTTGCTAAAGTCATTCCTGTATTATTGATCCACTACTATTGGGAATCTCCTGAAAAGAAAAAGAGTTTTGCGATGGCAAAATATTAATTTTCAACAATTTTATAGCATAAAAATTCCGACTTTACCTTTTCTACATGCATTTTTGGACCACCGTGGTGTCCAGTCAGGGCTCCAAAAGATTGAAGCATACTTAACAGGCTTCACCAAGCCCCCACAAATCGACGATGCCATTACTCTTTGCTCAATATTAGGCGTCCACAACAGTTTTGTACTTAGGATCAGCTGTCAGAAAGCTGTAGTTCAATCGAGCAAGTAGTAGTGTTAGGTATGTATATTTTACTTCCTACTGAAAAAAAAATTAGTTCTATTCACACATTTAGTCACAGAGGAGTTTAGGTCAACTTGTGTGGGTGTGCATAGAAATCAAACATAATGAGAAGAAAATTTGATAATGAAAAAATAGCCATAAAAAATAGCTATAAAAATGTAATTAAAATTTTTTCAAAAATTAATCATTCAATCTTCCGCAAATGAAACGAAAATCGGTCACACGCATCAATGATGTTGCCTACTAAAGATTCACACCACTATCCACCCATTTTTTCTAATGTAAATATACGTTTTATTCCTTTAGCCTATAACGCACCGTCCCTCCTTTCGGAATTCACCTACTACAAACTTTAGCTATATCTATTCACCTTTGATTGCTCTTTGGCGAAGAAAAATTGAACAACCACTCACTACATGGCCCTACATAGCCCTCCCTACCCCCCTCTCCTTCTTCCTTTATTTAACAAGCAGTTTCCGCTTACATTTCCTCGCATGCGCTCAGTAATTTATATGCCGCCCCCTAACCAACCATTTGTCTATTATTCAATCAAAATTAAGCTCATGTGATAAGAATGTTTGCCATTAGTTCACAGCGGTCTAGAACGTAAATGCCCTCAATTAATCCGCGCAACACATGTAGATACATATGTATGTACATATGTATGTAAGTAGGCGATGCCTTGAGGTGTTACACTCATTCATCTTCACCAAATATGTATACAAGCTTGTAATTTATTGACTTTGCGCAATTAGTCTTACTAATGATTGGTTTTGTGTGTGCTGCACTCCACCATTTCGCCCCCCCCCGCCCCCCTTTCTCAGTCGGTGTGGTTAAGAAAGAGTTCAAACCACCACATAACATCAAATCAACGCACAGTGTGGGGTCAATTCATCCATCCTCAATAGAATGCAATGTCATTGCATTGTTTGCTTAACAAATGATGGACAATCATGATTTAACCTTGTTTTTTTTGACGTGCCACATGCGAGTCATATAAGTAAGTCAGTCAGTCACACACATACATACCTACCTACATTTGCAACTACTTATTTTTTTTTTTTTTTGGTTTTATTACCTTCCAGCTGCTTGGATTTCTGTTTCCACAAGCTATGTATCTGCGGCGTACGTGTGATGAGTAAGCTTTAAGCCTTCGCATAGCTACACATATGCATACAAATGTAATACCACCCACAATGATTAAATATCAGAAGAACAAAAGTAAAGAGTCATATTAACAAATCAGACCTGTCAATTTGGAATCGCTATTCATTTTTCACTTTTATATCGGACATGCGATTTTAATGTATTTTGTAGATGTTGTTCAATTATTCTCACAATCAGTCAATTTGTCAATGGTTATTGGCTGCTTGGCTTAATTTTGCCATGGCTCTAATGAGCCGCGTTCAATTGGTTTTTTTTTCTTCTTCATCTTTTTTCGTTCATAGATGCTGTTATTCCATTAAAAATCATGTTCGTGCTCATATCAAACACAATTGTCGACGTGACTCCATTAAGTTGTTTGATTAATTTCTTTTTATTTTCGCTCTTTTTGCTGGCAAACATTACCCCATGCGACAAAAACCAAACGAAAAAATTTCAAAATACATAAAGCAATCAAAATACTCACGAAACTAGGGGTCAAATATGTATAGTAAAACTGCGTTTTTGGCTGACTTTGAAATTTTAAGAGATAAGCCTATTTCAAAAAAGTATATTTGAAATACTCAGGGCAATTTAAAATAATAATAAATATGTGTAGCAAATGAAAATGCCCATTTAAGAAATTTTTGTATCCTAACTAATAAAGTTGGAAGGACGAGATTTTTAGGATGTGGTTAGTGATGGCACGATTAATCGCATAACCGATTATAATCGATTATTTTCATTCGGTTAAGGATTTAATATTTCAATAGCTTTCTTAAATACCTATTTATTAATACTTAATCATTTTCAACCCATAACTTCTGCCGAGGCGGCAAGAAAAGCGAGTCCATCAAATACTCTCTTTGCCGCCTTAGCTAAACTGAGGCGTCGAAAATGTCTCTGTCCGTACTTTTCCACAATCTGTTGGACTCACCGTTCGACAAAGACATTAGCGATTAGGAGCGCTACGTATGTAAGTCAATCTATGAGCATTATCATAACGGGGAACTACTCCGCATGAGGATAGCCACTGCAATTTAAGCTAAAATTAAATTACAAATAAGTTAATGAAACAGTTGTTGTTATCAGTACTGTCATTATCGATTTATTTATGGCTACCGATAAATATTAGTTATCGATATATTCATCCTAATCGGCATAGTTGTAACTATCGTAAAGATATCGGCTCATTAATCGTAATCGATTTTTTATTCGTAATCGATTGTTTAGGTTGTCGATTTATTTATAGCTATCGATAAATGTAAAAAATAATCGGCATATTTATCGCCAACGATTTTTTTTATAGTTACCGATTTGTTAATCGGTCTCGATTTATTCGCGGTCATTCATTAAATTGGTTATAGATGTTCTAATAGCTATCGATTTATTTAAGGCTATCAGTAAATTTAACAGTTATCGGTGAGTTTGTGGTTATCGATTTATATGTTGCATATATGTAGTTATCGATATATTTAATGTTATCGACATATCTAATTTTACCGACATATTTAATGTTATCGAAATATTTAATGTTATCGATATATTTAATGTTATCGATATACATATTTCTCCTTTTAGTTCCTTAATTGACGTTTTATTTGCTATGTTTCAGTTACAGATAAAAGAATAATCGTCAATCAAGCCTTGAATTCTATGCCATTCTTAGAAATCTCCACAACGTTCTTCATTTAATTTTTTACATTTTTATTCGTATTTAACCTTAACATTTTACTCGCTGCCGTAGCTAATTTCCTACTCCACTTTAATACCATCTGCCAAAGCTTCCAAATTCCTTGTGCAAAAAGAAAAAAAAAAACAAAACTTGCCGAAGTATTTTAGAGCAATTTTTCTCCTTTATCTCCATTCTTTCCTCTACTCCAACCCAAAAAATTCCTTTGGTAATATTTTTCTTATTTTGTTACCAAATGCGGGTTACTAACGTACGTACGCAGCTTCCCACAATCATACATACATACATATGTACATAAATATTTGTTAATCTTCAAATTGACTTAACACACAAATGCGAACCGACATTGCCCGACGACTAATTGGTTGCACAATATTTTGTTGTTGTTGTTGCTTTGTTTTTATGACTGCGCTTAAATGCTCACTAAACATACATATCGAGTATATTTGTTTTTTCCAATATTAAATGTCTACATACATAAATGGCTAAAGCGCTGAATAGCTGAATGAAAGACTTGTGTTGTGCATAAGCTTAATGAACGCTTATAAAAAGGTATTCTTCTATATCTCTATACAGATTAGTGAATTCTAATAATAAGATTTATGCTTTTAGTGCCGCTAATGGTATTTAGTTGGTGCGTTCGCTTCAATGAACCCCCCCCTTCAGTCAACCGTACATCCATCGCTCCATCCATCCATTCATCCTTATACGCTTCTGCGTGCATTTATTTCTTCGTTCGTTGATCAGACTTGGCTGATTTATGGGTACGCTTGTTTGTTTGTTTGTTTGTTTTTTTTTTCCAATATTGTTGCTGTTGTTGCTACTGGCAAATGAATCACGTGTGCTCAATTTTTATTACCTTCAAACAGCAATAAAAACGATAACAGCGCACAACTGCAACAACAACAACAAGAGCAGCAAAAGCAACAAAAAATACAAGGCTCGGCAGCAACATACATACATACCCACTAATGGCATT